TTATCGTTTCTTTTTTTAGATTATAGCAAACTTCATTTTTTATTTATCAACAAACTTTCTATTGGCTAGCAACAGCAATTTTGCTTCAAATTAAAAGAGAATTAAGACTGGTTAATATAAATTTAAAGGCTGGGAATTTGTCGAACAGTTCTTATCAGTGATATCACTTCTCTTATTTTCACTGCTTTGTTTACACAATTTATTGTTGATGTGTTCTTCCCATCATCCCGCGCATTTATAGGCCTTAAGTTGCAGTGAATGCCTTAGCAGAATTAACCTATCGATTTTGAAATAGAAGGAAAGAATAAAAAACGTAGTTTTTCTCGGTTACAATAATTTCTTGAACTATCGCAACAAATGACTACCTACGGTCCAAAAAATCTACCATTTTGAGCTAACAGTGAGTTGTTGGCCAGTCCCAAAGATAAAAATGTTGATATTACAGTGATATGAGTTGGAAACTAACCAATTTTCATTTTAAAAAACATTAGTTACTTTATTTTTGTTCATTTTCACACCTTTTCATCATAATATTCCACAGATTTCATCGGTCATTACGACAATTACAGTATCTGCCATTCTTTTATTACCGTAGTTTCTGTTCAACATTTTTTGCTTTAAATCATAACAATTTAAATCATCACTTTAAACCATTTCACCACTTTTGCTTTAAATCCAATTTAATTGAAACAACAGTGATTCGATTAAATTTCGCTTCAAACCAAAAAAAAATGCTTCAAATAATAATAACTGCGCATGACAATTCAATAATTGCTGAATTACGGCTCTATAGAAATTTAATTTTCGACAAAAAAATGTTTCGGAATTATCGCAACAAAAGATGATATTTGAAATTACTTTCAAATTAACTTTCTGGTACGACTATTAATTTGCAGTCAGCCTCGAAGTAGCTGTTCTTGTAGAACCATAAATCACAAAAATGAAATTTAAATTTAGCCGTGTATTCATTGATCAGTTTGACAGAGTTGTTAGTTAATATGATGGTGTACCTGCACTTGAATCTAACTTGAATCTAATAATTATTCAATTTTTCAGCTCTATAACCAATATGATCAGTTTTGTATTGCTATTGTTGTACATTTCAAGATGTCTTTCAGTCATTCAGTCCATCAACATCATTTCCATATTTTTTAATTTCAATTTAATTGATTTTCATTTTCTTTCTCTTTCAACCAATATTCGTATCTTATTTACAGTCTCAATTATTCAACAGATCGTATTATTTAAAATCTCAAGGCTAGTACTACTGATTGTTATTCGATCTTTCCATAACTGTTATTCTTCAATTTCTCAGCAATAAATTCAACTAAAACAAAATAACAACTAAAACAAAATAACTGATATCACTGAATGGGAAGGCCGTTACTTCATTATTTGCGACAAATTTCATACTCCGTTCCTACCCACTACCACCCAGTGGTCCTTTTGTTCCTTGCGGCCCTTCGTTACTTTGTGGTCCATCTGGAACTTTTTTACCTTGCTCGCTCTCCAACTGGTCCCATGTCTCCTCGTGGACCTTTTATTACTCTCGGTCTTTCAGGTTCCTCTCTTCCATCAGACCCATCCGGCCATGGAGATGCTCGTCTGTGATGAAACGCATGCCTGAAAATTTCATACATATTTGGCATCCTAACAGGGGTTACATTGGAACATAATCTTCACTTTAGAAACAATTCATTGGGGAACTTGCTTGCACCACGAAAACAGCGCAATTGACTAATAAGAAAGTACCGAAAAGGTACATTGGTCTGAAAAGGTACAAAAATTGATTGCATTCATAGATAGTTAAAATTTCCCAAACTTTTTTAAAATTTTAATCTTTTGAAGTTTTGTCAAAACGAAAAAAAAAGGTATTTAGGTTTCATTAGATCTTATGGCGCACAATTCTTTAAAGTAATCATAACTGATATTTCAGAATTTCAAAATTCCATTTAATGATTTTAATATTTTTGAAGTAATAAACTGTAATTAGCTGACCTAAATGAAATTAAATGAAACATATTTTGACAAGAAATCTTCTAATTATATCAGAAATTAGAAGACCTGGTATGAATTGCTCGGAATTTACAAAACAAGAAACATTTCTAGAATTCTTTGTGAAATGATCGCATCGAATGCAGCATTAAAAAATTATTGAGGTATCTGTAAACGCTAAACGGATCATTTTGTGTGATGATTTAAAGTGAAAGGAAAGAAGATTCTGTTAATTGATCAGAGATCAGCGGTTGATATAGAATTTATGAGATTGGATGGAAGAACAAGTTTCGAGCTTTCAAGAAGCAAAAGTGATTTCAGCGTCTGACTGATGTCGGTTATCTGAATTGAAGATAGTAATAGTGATAAATTAGATTATCCTTCGCCAATTGCAGCTACTAAGATTCATATAAGATTCATATTAAACATCCAACTTTTCAATATAATGGAAAATTTCTCTTTGAAATTCTCTCTACCAAATTTTATCTAAGTTTTAAAACCATTTATCAACTCTTGACAAGTATTTTTTAAATTGCGATTAGTAAATCATGGTTTTTTAAAGAAAAATTTAAATAAGAAGTGAATGTGTGAACGTAGACTTTTCCCTTCCCAGACTTTTTAAGAAATTAAAATTAAAAAGAAATTTAACGATTTTGGAAACAGTTGTGTTTTTTCAGATTTCAGTACCAATGCATCTTTTTGGAATTTTCCTTCTGGTCATCTGCGTTGTTTTTGTGATCCAAATAAGTTCCTTAATTTTTTTTTAGATAAGATGAGGTATCTTTGAAGTCTTCAAGTACGTATAAATCTTATTTTCAGGCTTGTAATCCATTAACAGCACCTATAGGACCTCCAGGACCTCCATGTTCTCCAGGAAGAGGTGGACGAAAGGGAAGTCCAGGTGATCGAGGACAACCAGGACATGAAGGAAAGATAGGAGAAAGTGGACCAGTAGGAAAGCGTGGAATTCAAGGTCCTCCAGGCCCGCCAGGAGATGTAGGAGAGAAAGAGGAAAAAGGAAGAGTTGGAAAGCAAGGTCAGAGGGGAGCAAATGCAGGAGGATAGAAGCAAGGCCAAGAAATGTACGGGAGATATTGAAATAGTGCCTGTCAGTGATATCGACTTTCTTTGTTTTTATTGTTTTGCGTACAACAACGACAATCTATCACATTTCGTAGGCTTGATTTGCGAAATTTGCTTACAGATGTTGGGTTATAAAAATTTAATTTTATGTAGCTAAGCTTCGTATGTTTTCGAATCACAATGTTAGTAACAAATTTGAATAATAAAAAGCTTCTCGAAATTTGGCTAGTTTCAAAATAAAATATTTTACTTCCGCTATGTACAGAAATATTATAATCAGGCAGAAATTGCATAGTATTAATGGTTAATATGCCAATACAACATTTCC